TCGGCCATTACGCACAGCTAGTGGATCTTACAGCGCCCATTGCGTTAATGCATCATATGTATCTGTAAACTATCATCGATGGTGATATCACAATCATTTCAGAAAGATGATCGGTGATTATTTAATTGTGCTCATACTGAAACAGACTTAGCTAAGATTCACGATTCAGCATTAAATGAAAAGAGCATTGAGAGAAGGAAATTATGCCTCAAATGTAAATATGCAGTAGGCTACTCATAAGCAGTTAATTCCAATGAAATCTATAAAAGTGCCTTTGATTTTTTTTTGTAGACAGCGAAAAATAATTAGATCAGTGAATTTATTGTAAGGTTACATCTCTTACCTTATATTTCCTGTGCATCTTGTTCTATAACAAAAACTGTGTACACAAGTGTAGGCTCTAAGAATTTAACCTTACAAAACCCTAGGCAAGATTTATGTTAATGAATCCATTTTATGGAAAATTTCACCAAGCTACCAAAGACAAAAAACAAAATTGAATTCACTGTTGTACACTTACCGAAAGCCACCTGCAACCTGGTTTACCACAGTCTCATTATCAGTCCACCAAGCTGTAGATGTATTATTGGATTATTATGGCAGACCAGAGGGCTGCCTGGTAGCTCACTTGGTAGAGCCAAGGCTGAGTCCTTGCTTTGCTGCATTTTTTTGTATACCTAATAAGATACCATCATGTGGATTTCCTCTTTAATTACACAATAAGAACAAGGTTGTTTACTTTTTTTCACAAACTTCAGTTTTGTTACCCAGTACTGTACCCCATAGGCAGGAGTTTAATTAACTTCTCCTTTCCTCTAAAGCAGTCATTTGTTACTCCCTTGTTCCCCATACTTATTTTCTTCCGCTGTACCTACATCAGTATTTTATTGGTAAATGATTTATACAATGTTTAGTGCTGGCAATGAAGGGCATTGTCTGATGCACCTACAGGTTGGTTGCACAGTTGTACTTTCTCAGAGTCACTTTACCCTGTTAGAGGACCACTAAAAAGCTGTTTGTGTTTCAGTTATTTATTGATTAAAAAAATATTAAATCAGCATTATGTTAAACTTAAACAACTCACTTTGTGTAGTCAATAAGCACAACAGCAGCCTCCTGCCCACGCAGGTTCTCCTGCAGCATGCCATCAAACAAAAGGACAGTTTTGTGGCTTTTGTGCAGCGAGCCATGCAATTTGCCTGCTGTGTGTTGAACTGTACCCACACTGTTCACCCGAACGCGGCACGGCAATCAAAACAGACAACCGCCCCGATATTGGTTGCTGCTGGGTTTAAGCTGAAGGTCAATCTGTGCCTGCTCAATTTCTGTTTCACCAGCTGTTGAGTACTTCAATCAGGATTTTCATTCATACTGCCTTTGATTCCACTCTTCATTCATATGGAATCTATTGCTTTGTCCAAAAATATCTTAACTCGGGGTCCACTTACGATGCTCAGTTGTCATGGAGATTCTCCAGACAAAGCTTGAACTTCAAGTTGACCTTCACTGACCTTCCTTAGTTTAAAAAAATGTGAGAAAATACTGAAAAAATGTGTCACCATTTACCAGAATCCAAAGTGATAAAGTTACATGTTCTGTTATTGAATTTACAATGACATTAAATAGCAAAAGGCAGAAAATACTTAGATTTAACAGGCTGGAACTAGCAGTGTAATGTGTGTAATTGTTGCTTGGTAAACAGTTATCAGTTATCAATAATACTTGACGATTAACCAATCAATTCCTCGTTTTAGCGCTAGACTTTTTGGACTACATACACAAACACCAGAGATGCTAATTTTACAGCCTAACAGCAAAAATACAGTCGATAGCCTGATCTCATTGGACTTCAAAGCTCTGTTAATCAGCAGTGTGTTTACTGATATGCTGACCTTCTGTTGTGTCAATTACAGCAAGTTAGAATCAAAACTGGTGTCTTCGAATCCTGTGTGTGTGTGTTTGTGTGTATGTGTGTGCTCGTCAGCCAGTCATAACCAACACTAATTGAGTGAGTCCAGAAATGAGAAGTGTGCACAGGTCCTCCCTAAGGGGTAAACAGTCAAAGTCTACATCCCACACACACACGCATGCACACAAACTCATTCTAACGTAATTGATTTTCTAAACACTTCCATACTTTATGGTCACTGCCAAATGAAAACTCACTCAAATAGGTTGGAGGCTAATGTCAAATGAGGTAAAAATTACTTCTGTCTGCTCCCGCTGCCGTGTACTACAAGTCCACTCGGATGTTACAGCTGGAAAAAGTTTTTCTAAGTCAAATCTCTTTGAGTGATGGCCCCTAAAATTCTTTATCTGTTACTTTGTTGTACAGTCTGCTTTCAGTCTTTGATTTTATTCATTCTTTTCTTCAAGGATTTGTACAGTGAAATCTTTGCAGCCTGAGAGATGGAGCCGAGGTCCCATAGATTCACTGCTTTATTGCTTTACTCTTATTTGGTAGGTAGCAGAACTCATTTTCATTGCTTTGATATGTCCCAGACCCCTAATATTATAATGAAAAGCCTAACACCAGTGATAGAAAATCAAAAATGATCTCCACTGAATATTTTCATCACTTTTATTTGTATTAAATATTAACAATAAGGAGACAGTGGACAAAGTATTTTGATAAAACATTTCTCATGTGAACAAACAAACTGTGAGAGTGACAAAAAACAATCTTGGACAGAAACTGAAAGGAAATACTTTGGGTAAACACACACTGCAAGTTTTTTTTTTTGATCACATATAAGCCCATCAAACAGTGCTTGTCCAACAGATAACATTTCAAAACTGTTTGAAGGACCATGTAAAGTGAAAAACAACGTCAATTATCTGGAATGAATTTATGTGCTAACTGGTCAGAGGCTCACAGTATGAGTCTACCCAACAGTTTCATGTACTTAGACACAGACTTCAGCAGCTGAAAAAGGAGCTTTAATAGATTATCATCATCCATCATCCACTTTTCTGACACAGTTAGGCAAAAGCTTCTCTTTCAAAGTCATCTCAAGCAGAAATAATCAAAGTGCAAAGGCTGGATTTCAAAGAGGAGAGAGGTTGAATCGGTGACCCTTCATCTATGAGCGAGTCAACAGGCCTTTATGTGTAAAATTTTAGCAAGCTTGTCTGATTTGTTTTCTGATGTGTAACTATAGCCTGAAACCCTTTGGTAACAGCTCAAACCTCTTACTGCATTTGCCAGAGAAACAAAATCTCCACCTATTTTGTTGTATTTTAATCCCTGGTGTTCCAACAAACAATGTATGTGAACCCCTATTCTTAAGTGTCATTAACAAGAGCATGAACGTTCCTGTTCATGAACAGTGAACAATCAACAGTTATAATCATTTATGTACAATTATACAGTTTTATTTCATTATTACACAAATTCAAAAAGAAACAAACATAATTAAAGTAAGCACATTAAAAGCTAAGACAGTATAATATCTGTGATTCATTCAAATTAAAAACAGTAACATCATGATTAATATTATTATTGTCACTTTCATCATGACTATTATCATAGTATACTATTTTTATTTGTTATTTGAAACTGGTTCTATGGCAATAAATATAAATAAGGCAGAAAACAATAAATAACTTCCCAACAAATGAGATGTAGTGTTTTAAATGCACAACATGCAGCTGACTAAAGTGAAGAATGGAAGTTTATGAGGTGTATCCACCTCATGATTGCAGAACCTTGTTTCCCAGCAGTGAAATTCAATATCGGTCCACTCTTAAAACACGACCGAGAAAAATGTCTTTAAAAGACCTCAGTGCAGTGCCACATTTGAACTGCCATCTCAGATGTGGATTTTTCCTTTTCATGATATGTGATATAACCAGAAAACTACCTTTGTGGTTTTCCAATTTGAACACTGCTGAACCGAACACAGCTGTTTGACACACGGTGAAAAAATAAAATCTGAGTGGGCAGTGCTAACGGGGCCAGATTCTCCCTTATGACATTTCACATGGTGCCAACTACATTATGATGCATGCACTGACGATGGATGTAAATAGCAGCTCTTAAGAGGTCAGCCAGCGACAAAACGTTGTTACCCTCCACCTGTAAACAAACCAAGCAGGGGATGTTTAGTTCACATTACAGCTGCGGTTCTCAGCCCAGGTTCTTGGGAGCCACATTACTGCTGGGCGTATACCCTACCAGGTAGTTAATTGCATTCACCAGGTGTAAAATTATTCCCCGATTATACAGCTGGAATCAAAATGCGGCAGCGCTTCAGGTCCCAATGCCCAGAACTGAGAGCCACTGCAACAGAGTGTGATAGATACACTGTAGGACAATAATAAGCTGTGGGTAAGTAAGCTAAGCAGGGGATAGATATGGAGGCAGACCTGGGATAGAGGGAGAAGGAAGATAACGGAGAGAAAAAAGGAAAAAATAATAATAATAATAAAGGAAGAGTGGGATGCTGTGGGACAGAAGGAGGAAAATGTATAAAAAAGAAACTAAAGGGGGATGAGGAGTGTATAGATAGGAAAAGGGAGAAAATAGGGTAGAGAAAGAAACAAGGACACAAAGAAGAAGGAACAGGGGAAAAAAGAGGAAACAGTGTGCAAGTGAAGCAGACTAGAAGGGGAGTTGAGAGCTTTCACCAGTGGGAGCAGAGCTGTCTTCCTTCAGGCTTTTCTTCACCTCTACCAGGTCCTTGCCTCATGAGGTGTGCATTACAACACACACACACAGATGATTTAAACAACTTCCCTACAGCCAGGTGCCGTTTAGAGACAGACAAGGTCAACAACTTCTTCAAAATCTAACATTTTCTGTAAACGCTGAGAGCTGTGATTTCTGGCCTGTGCTCAGCAGCCGGCTTCCACCTCTCGGTTGATTTGTTTACCCTAAACCCTATGGG